TTTTCAACTTCCACTGTTAGGTAATAGGTATGAATTAATCGTATTTTGTTTTCTACTCAAAACCATCCAATTTCCTTAATTTGATTTCTTGGACTATATTGCCCTCACATGACATTTCTTTTTATTTTTCTTTTTTTCAGTATTGCCTCTATAGTTTTCCCTGTTTAATTATGAAAATCAAAATCTTCCCATCTCTTAACAAAATTTTATAATAATTATTTAATAACATTAAATTGAATAATGCATATCAATTCACACATCTTACGAAATATAATGGATCAATTATAATGAATTCACATATAAATATGAGATTTCTTAATTAGAAATGCCCTAACCATAATTCTGACTAATTAACTTTGCTACATGTCAAGTTTTGTATTTAAAAGATAGAGCCTTGGGGTATTATAGGAACTTTAGGGTTTACCGTTATGGAAATAGCTACATTTTGGATAGTTAACTTTTTACAATTAATACTAATTTTAGCTTTGATATTACTCTAAAGTGATTCAGCAGCTGCTAGACTGAAATTTGTCGTATTCAAAGCACAGGACTCTTTGCCAAAATTGATCGCAATCTCAGTCACCTAATTAACAAACAAATTAAACTTTCTAATACTATATATATGACCTTTAGTTATGTTCTTCCTTCATCCAATCAAGTTCGAGCGAATTCAGTAATTAGAATATCAAAAAGGAAAGGCAAAAGTGAGAGATGGGTCAACTTCTTAGGGCTATTTTCCTTGCATTGTGTGCTCTGTGGATGACCCCCGGATTCGGAGCTGCAAAACATGCAGGCATAACCAGGCACTACAAGTTTGATGTAAGTATTGGCATGGCATGGACTATTTCAGAACCAAGAGCATGGCATTTTCCAAGATACTGATGTTTCCCCTCTTATTTTCTAGATCAAGATGCAAAGTGTGACAAGATTGTGCCAAACCAAGAGCATTGTGACAGTAAATGGCCAGTTCCCAGGTCCTCGGATTATAGCCAGGGAAGGCGACCGCATTCTAGTCAAGGTGGTTAACCATATCCAGCACAATGTCACACTTCACTGGTATGGCAAACTTTGAATGTCTCCCCTGTTTTGGTTTGGCTCTTAAAATGTAACTTTTCATTGGAAATCCCACTAATTTTGGCTTGGACATGGGGAATAGGCATGGGGTCAGGCAAATAAGGAGCGGTTGGGCAGATGGACCTGCCTATATCACTCAATGTCCAATTCAAACAGGGAAGTCATATTTATACAACTTCACCATCACTGGCCAAAGAGGCACCTTGTTTTGGCATGCTCACATCTCTTGGCTGAGAGTGACCGTCTATGGACCTATAGTCATTCTCCCCAGAAGACATTCCTCCTACCCTTTTCCACAGCCCTTCAAAGAAGTTCCCATTCTTTTTGGTACTCAACACAAAACTTCTCACTCTCAGAAAATGTAGAATACATTCATCTTGAATTAGTAACAAATTTCGACTGAAATTACAGGAGAATGGTGGAAAGCAGATACAGAGACGGTTATCAACCAAGCCATGCAAACAGGAGGTGCACCAAATATTTCCGATGCCTACACCATTAATGGTCTTCCAGGACCCTCCTACAACTGCTCAGCTAAAGGTACAGCAATTTGTTCGGAAAATATTTAGTATTTTGAGTGCAAGAAGAAACTAAAGCAAATGAAACTAAATGAATGCAGATACATTCAAGCTCAGGGTGAAACCTGGAAAAACTTACCTCCTCCGCTTGATCAATGCTGCACTCAACGATGAGCTCTTCGTCAGCATAGCCAACCACACCCTTACCGTTGTAGAAACAGATGCCATCTATGTGAAACCATTCAAGACACATACGGTGCTCATCACCCCAGGGCAAACTATCAACGTCCTTCTCCAAGCCGAATCCAAAGTTCCAAAAACCAATTTTGCTATGGCTGCCAGGCCCTATGCAACCGGTCCTGCCACTTTCGACAACACTACGATGATTGGAATTCTGGAATATGAGAAATCTCCTTCCTCAAAGAACAGCCAAAAGCTCCCTCTTCTGAAACCAGAACTTCCCAAGTTCAATGACTCAACTTATGCCATGAACTTCAGCAAGCAGATTCGTAGCCTGGCCACTGCAAAATTCCCAGCAAAGGTTCCTCAGAAAGTTGACAGGCACTTCTTCTTCACAGTTGGACTGGGGATACTTCCATGTTCCCAGAATCAGACATGTCCTAACAATACAAGACTGGCAGGTGCAGTTAACAATGTTTCATTTGTGCAGCCAAGCATAGCTCTTCTCCAAGCTCACTTCTTCAACCAGTCGAAGGGAGTTTACACAACTGATTTCCCTGTCAATCCACCGTTCAAGTTTAACTACACAGGCACACCACCCAAAAACATCATGCTGGACAGCGGCACCAAGGTGGTGGTGCTGCCCTTTAACACTAGTGTGGAGTTGGTGATGCAGGACACCAGCATCGTCAGTGCAGAGAGCCATCCTTTACACCTTCACGGCTTCAATTTCTTTGTGTTGGGAATGGGTTTTGGGAACTTCGATCCCAAAAAGGATCCAGCCAAGTTCAACCTTGTTGACCCTGCAGAGAGGAACACCATAGGTGTACCGGCTGGTGGATGGGTCACCATTCGATTCCTTGCAGACAATCCAGGTCGATCTCATTGACTACATCTGTCTGCTTTTAGTTTTATTTCTTAGTCTCTGATTACTCTAACCAAAATTGAATGGATGGATGTGCAGGTGTTTGGTTTATGCACTGTCATTTGGAGGTGCATACTAGCTGGGGCCTGAAGATGGCTTGGGTTGTCAATGATGGAAAGGGCCGCAAACAGAAGCTGCCCACGCCACCTTCCGATCTTCCCAAATGTTAAAATACAATTCAATAGTTGTACTCTTTCATTCTTAATTTCACTCCCATTGTTATGCCCAAAATAATAGTAGCGTCAGGGCTCTTTGTACTTAGGAACTTAGGGGAGGTTTTGCCAGGATTAGCAAGCTCGATTGTCATAAGAGAGAGCTCAAAGAGCTATGGATGTAGAAGAAATATCAACGGAAATGTTACAGTTGTTTTCAAATATCAGAGCCATAGAAATACTGACTGCAGGAAGAGATATTTATGCTGGAAAAAATTGAAAGTGGATCTAACATATATGCATTTTCACACCCAAAGTTCCTGAATCCTTCGACCAACTACTGACATATACAACCAGAAACATACCCCAATGACGACAGAAGCTAAGTTAAGAGGGGAATTCTACAAGCAAAAAGAACCAAGTCAGAAAGGGCAACACTCTCACCATTTAAATTGGCTTCATTTTTAAGTGGAGTTAGATGAGAGAGAAGACAAAACACTTCAAGTCCTGCAACACATAAAAAAGGGGATAAGAGCAGGGTTATTTACAGGAAAGGTGATGAAACAACTAATGTGAAAATAACATCTAATTAATGAACTACCACGATAGCAAGAATGATATCACCAATTGTGTGCATGCTGGAGTGTATATTTGAGTGTGTGTGAGAGAAGGGGGAAGGGTTAACAAGATAGAAGCTTGCAAAGATCATTTTAGTAATTTTTTAATTGGAAAGAAATCTAGCTAGATATCTTTGTGTGCCTTCTAGCTCCCTGCAGCTACTGAGCTCTCAATAACCATATCCGAAACATTTCTAAGATGTATAAAACTATTTACACGCAGCCCCATAGTCTGGAAAGCAATCTTTCAATCAATTTTACCCCAGAACCATAATATCATGTTCCACACTATATAGAAGCTGTCCCAAAGTTATATGCGTCTGAATATCTTAAAAGCATGAACTTGAGAAGGTGCTGGTGGCGGGACAAATTCAAGAATTCGAGAAGGCAGTAACATTCTTTTCCATCATCCATCCAATAGAAGAATCAACAAACCATCTTGCAAGAACTAATAAAGAGGACTACAAATGCAACTATCCCACTATTTGTAACAACTTTGAGTATTGTTTGGACTATCTTAATGAAACCAAATAACTTCATAGAACGCACAATATCTATTTCACTTATCCTACTGTGATAAAGTGCTGCACTGCATAACAAAGTCAGAAAATCTCACTAAAAACGTAGTAACAAAACCACAGGTAGTAGCTGTCATAATAAGAACATATTTTGAAGCTGATAGAGAAAAATTATTCAAATGTAAAAGGGTTAAGTCATTTTAGGCATGTTCTTCATCTAGAGAAATAGCGAATCCATTAGCAAAATCTTGAAAAGTAAAAACACAATTCTACACTAAGAAACATAAAACAAAAAGGGTATATGAATGATATTAAGGAGCATAAAAAACAGGGTGAGACGGGGAATGTAGATTAGCTGACCTGAACAAGATAATAGAAAATGCAAAGCCCCTCAGGATCCTTACCGCCATTCACATCAACAAGAGAGACAATCTTTGAAGAAATGAACGATATATACAAGTTTCCCATCATAATTTCCAGCTCCTGCCGCCCAATGGGGTTAAGTTCCGGCCAAAAATTATCATCTTACTTCACAATCTGTTCATAAGTATCGAATTTTAGCAATTCAGAGATCAACTATACAAAACCCCAAAAAGACAATAAAAATTCCTAAACTTCATAATCCTAGGCCAAACAACTCTATCCTAAACCTTAATCCAAAGTAAAAAAATACAAAAAAAAAAAGGGAGAGGAACCTCGCTCCCGGCGATGATGTGGCGGCATGACGTGAGGACGGCGGTTGTGACGGAAGACTTCCTTGCGGATCATGGATTCATGGTGTCATTTCTGTAGTTGGAGTTGTTAACGTAGTGGAGCTAGCCATCTTGCCTGAACTCGAACTCCAGGAACTCGTACTCGAACTTTCCCTTGTGCCCGACGTAGTACCGGAGTCCAGAGGTAGAACTCTCCGTCGTCTTCCTCCGCTGCCATTCTCAATTCTCACCTTTTCCCTTCCCTCACAATTTCACTACTTGTATGCCTGAACTACAAGACCCAATCCGA